AAGGAAAGCACTATGCCTCCGCTCCATGTTCCAACTTCTATGCTGGCTCCCTTCATACGGCTTGGGTACTTCGCCAAGTTACACCCAAGTTGCTCCGCTCCTCGTTTTTGCATTGAGTTGATGGTGGCCCTCGTGCCCACCATTCCACGGGTCAGCCCTCCCTTGAGTCCGATCTCCACATCGACTCCAAGTGTGCCTTCATTTAAGTTGCTTTTGGGTCGCTCCCCTACTTGATCTCGCAATGCATCCACCAATGCATTCTCTCAAGCGAGATCATGCGACGACTCCTCCCCGCTTGCTCAGTCCATCGAGCTTCGTGGAGTTGTTGTTTGTTGAGGTACTCCTCCTCAACATGTGAGGTCCGTCTCACATGATTCTCCCTCTGGAGAGCCGGGACTTATCCCTCCTGGATACCTGTCCCATTGGAGCAACATCTCTCTTTGTTTCGGAGACCACCATCCCCTTGGACTACTCCGATCTGCTGAACAAACTGTGCATTGTTCTGCCTCCTGCAAACGCACTTGCTAGATTGCGACTCCTTGTCAATACAGCCCCCGCTGCACCCCTCAAGGCCTAGCAACATGCTGAACTCGTTGCACACTTCAGCCTCCTACGGACGTATCCTTCACATGCCGAAGAGAAAGTTTCAATGCTCCATGGCGCCGAGTTTCGGTCGCCTTGGGATGGCCACGAACATTCCATCGTCCGCATACAAGCCCATGCATGAGTACCGAATTCTTTGAGTTAGCAATTCCCCTCACCTCTGTGAGCTTTGCACAACTCTTTCGATCGCTGAGCAACTCATTCCACCTTGGATGGTCTCATCCTTTACCAAGCGCCTCGCTTGCCTTGAGCGCCATCAAGTATAGTTGTCAACGTTGAGCCGTAGCTCAAACTCAGCCATCCCAACCTTTGTGCGCTCCACATTCTTCCAAGCTTGTCTGTTCTCGTGGTGCCTGTTACGCGAAGGGTTGGCCATTCCTCTGAATGCCAATATCAGATGCCCGCTCCTCCGAGCGACTCCTTTTCCCTACATCTCCATGCCCGTTTTCCCCTAAACGGTCGCGCGTGTGCTGACTGCCCTCAACGCAGCCCCGCTAGGTCCCCCACGTTTGCATGCTAAGTGTTTTTATGAGTGCTTGTCCCGCTCTGATACCATCTGTCACGGACTTAGCTGGTTTTGCCTAAGTCGTGCGGCACCCTTGCGTGTCCGTCCGCAAAGGTCAGCCTCCCTGAAGCCTCCCATTGTCCCTTAGGACCAACAAAAGAGAGAACGGGTTAGAGAGAACGCCTCAATCGGGATCCACAAGCAAACATCTCCGAAAAACACTTCATAGACAATGCAAATTACAAACAAACTTTACAAGCTCTGAACAGTGGCACAACAAAGGGGTAAAATAGTTCATTACAGACCGAAAATCTCTCGCACGTGTCCACATGACACAACCTTTATTTACAAGCCTAAAGAGGCCACCAACCCAACTAAAATGAGACTATTAAGCCTTCGGTCGCCCCTCTACATGTTGTACAAGGCATTAACATGCCAAAAGACACGGACATACATAAGCATTACATCAAACATCCTGTTTCGAAGTTTGTCCGTGACAGAGCGGTACACCCAGGTGTATCGAGTACTGTAGCACTGCTACAGTGCTACAGTGCCTCGGACCGGTAACAGTCGTTCCGCGTACCGAAAACCTGTCGGACCAGTACATACCGCCCGTACCGAGCGGTACAGCTCGGTACGGCAGACCCTGGTTTTAACATCTATGCATTAGTATAGGGAAGTCTTTTGTTGCACTTAAACTGATTTGTTTAATGTGTTATCTTCTTTGACATCTTTGACTGGTTTTACTTGACTGTTTTGCATCTGAGTTTGGTGAACTGGTTTGATCGGTCAGCTGGAGAAACTCAGCTCTAAATTTCCTCTATCTTTTTCTATTTCCCTAACTTCATTCACAAAATTCCCAAGAAATCATTGAATGAAAATATTTACTATGTTGTGAACATGTCCTTCATGTTGATTTATGAGAGAGAGAGGAACAAATTATTCTGATGTCATTACTGATTGGATTTTCTAGGGCGGTCTAATTTAACAGAGTCCACTCACCATCTTATAGCTCACCGTTTTGTTAAGTTTGACATTTATTAATGGTTTGTACATGCAAGTAACTAGTGTAAGCATTCTTTGCGACAAAGAGTGCAGCTTACAGTTGAAATTTGGCTCCTGTACTTTCTATTCTTCTAAGCATGAATAGTTTTACTTTGTTCTTAAATTAGTGTACAGTCGTAGATCTCAGTATTGGAAACCTCTCAAGACTTAGCTCCATGACACATTGAACGATGTTGCCCACAGGCCATTAGTGCACAGTTTTCAATTCTTATAAGCATGATTAGTTTTTCTGGTATTTCAACAGGACATTAGTGCACAGTTTTGAGTGCTAAATTTTTTTCATTTAATACGGAGGGAGAAGGCAGAATGATGTTTATTACGTAGTCGACCACCTTAGACTTAGTGCCTCAGGCCATGATGTTGAAATTTGATGGCATTTAAGTTCTGTTACGTAGTATATGTTAAAAAAAACTTGTGCACAAGTATGAAAGTCCCAATTATTTGACTATGGTAAATTAGTACCATCATGGTTTTCCGTTTTGTTGTAGAAACTTTTATCATCATGGTAATTTAGTATGAAAGTTCTACCATCATGTTGTGTGTTGGACTCATGTCTTGCTTATGTCTACAAATATGTTTTTGTTGTGTCCAAATCATCATTATTGCTGATAATTTCTACAAACATGTCTTTCTAATTTCTACAAACATCACTTGACTATGTATAACTTGTTTATATATGCAAAATTCTATGTTTAAAAATGACATTCAGAACCATTTTTACTCTCTCTGTGTCTGTTTTTATCTCCATCTCTGACTCTATGTCTAAATTGCACATACTTTTCATGGGAACTTGTATGCTGGCACTTCTTCCTTGTTAGAATATTAATTTGTGATAACTGATCAATTTTAACTATGGATTTATAGGAAGAAATAACTCTTGTTGTCCTTAGTGCTGATCCACTAAGGACACATTGGCTTTTTTTTATGGAAGACACTGTTCTACTCCCATGTTGCTAGATAAAAAAATATACTTAACATTTATGATAGACTATGTAATCCACCCTTCTGTCTACCCAAGGAAATATATATTTATAAAAACATGAATTCTTACAATAAAAGAACACATTGTATCACAAGATGTATTTTCAACTTTTGTGCACATTGAATAGTATTACTAGTTTCTTGGAGAAGTCTTGGGATTGAACATTGTCATTATAAGCTCCATGATATATCGATCAGCATTGCCCATGAATAAGGACTGCTCATAGTTTCCAGTATTTCAACAACACCTTAGTGGATTGGTTGGATGTAATGTCATGTTCAATATGTTACTTTAAATAAGGACACATTGACATGTTAATCATAGATGGATATACTGGTTGCACAATAATGTGTACTGCAAAGCTCTTCTACCTTCTTTACAAGTTTTAGCAAGTATTAGTAGCAATATCTGTGTGTTTTTGTGGTCTTATAATATTTTTGTTGTAATTCATTTATGTTTTCATTAGAGAAGAAAAGTTTCATGAAAGAATGAAATTCAGTATGCCCTTGATTGTAGTGAATTAATATTGCTTTGGATTTTTATTTTTTCATATTTTATCCTATATCTATGGATCAAACAAAGCCCATATGGATGAAGTGAAGTGAAGTGACTTTTCATATATGAATTTTTGTGCATTTGCGTGAGCCCTTGATTTTAAAGTAGACTGTCCCTGTTGGTAACCATTCTTTGGTTTCAAATTGTAAGTTGTTCTTAGAATTTACTAATTTTCGAAGCCTAAATGAATGTGTAGCTGGATCATTAATGGTACTGAAGCCTCACTATGGAGGTACTGTGTGTTCTTTCGTGCACTAAAATTATCCCTATCACTACCTGCATGAACATATTTTGACTCAGTGGCAACTTAAGGTTTTAGGTGAACTTCGAAACGGATTTGAAATATTTTAATTTGAGCATATATAAACATGCAAAACTGAAGTTCAAAGTATCATCAACTTGTTATTATGCTGAAAAATGCTTTTACAAGGATACTTTATGTAAATGGATTAAGCACTATATGCAACACAGTTAACTAAAACATTTATTAATAATGGTTTGACAAATGTTGATTGTGGTTTGGCCATGAGTGATCCACTCAGTTCTATTTGCCCTAATAGGGTGTGGTATATATTTTTTTAAAATTTCATTTGTATTGTGAATATCATTCATGAAAACCTTGCTGATTTATGATTAAAAGCATAATGGGTCTGTCTGCAAGCAGGACTTGATAGTTGATGATGAGTTGTCTTTGTTCCATATATAGAGTTCGAATCGCCCTTTCTTGTTCTCCTAACTCTTTACTCTTGACTCTAAGCTCTAAACTGCTTCCAGCTATAACCCCATGGAGGGAGTGGTAACCAAACTTCTTGAAGAATAGAAGATAGTGCACAAGAGTAGAAGAACGTAAAAATGTAGCTTACTTTAAGTTAGAATTGAGGATTAAGAGCATAATGGGTCTGTCTGCAAGCAGGACTTGATAGTTGACTAGATGATGAGTTGTCTTTGTTCCACATATATATATATATGTATATGTATATATATATATGTATATGTATATATGTATATGTATATATGTATATATATATATATGTATATATACATATATATATATATATATATACATATATGTATATATACATATATATATATATATATATACATATATATACATATATATATATATGTGTGTGTGTGTGTGTGTGTATTTCAGCCATTTTAAATTGCCTGAATTTATCAGGAAAAGTTCTACTTTTATCATGAAAAGACTAGAAACTCCTTTTGGTTATTCAATCAGTCAATAAATGGTAGGTCATTGGTTTTTACTCACTCACTCATTTTTATCGGCAGACTGCCAGGCCACGTACTGTTGTTCCACTCTGGAAAGTTCACATTGAAGAACCCAAGTTCAACCAAGTAGATCCTGCTGTAATCATTGTTGATAAAGCTACAAGTATGTTTCTTCATTGTTTTGAAATTTGTTCAATGAGAATAATGACTTGAAAATTTCATGTAAATTGTAACATGGTTTGAATTTCTTTCTTAATATTTTTTTGTTAAAAGAAATTAACTTTGTTAACAAATAAACATTTTGGTGCCATATCTTTAAATGCTTTAGTAGGTTCTCTGGAGTACCAAACTTCTTTTTCTGCCACATAAGTTTCTGGTTTTCTATATATGCAAAATGGTTACAGTTCTCACTCCACATGCTTCTGAATTTATGACTTTTATAGCACATATGAGATATTTAGATTCTGTTGGTGCAACTGCTAAGTTAGTCTGCAAATTATACTAGGAGACCCACTCAGGCATACCAAGTCTGGCCTTAGGCTGGGGATATAGAAAATCTTCACATCTGTCGTCCTCCATCTTGTTTTAGACAGCTGATATTTTTTTGCTAGTAGGTGCAATGTCTCAGTTTGATGATATTGATGCTACAGTACTCGAAACTTTAAGCTGCATCAGCAATCACTTTTTTGTCTAGCTTACTAATTGAAGTCTACTGTGTCACATGTCCAAGTGACTGCTTTACGAAAATGTTGAAAAATGAGCGACTAAAACTGTCAGATTCACAGTTTTTTGTCACCCATATTCTCAATCCCTTTGTGCCTGGAAACAGTTTATCCTATTTTATTCTTGGTTGTATGCTTTGATGTCAGTAATACACCTGGATTTACTCCATGTCTCATTATTTTGTGCAAGTCATGATTGCCACTGGGATACCATGTTAATTAATCTTTTGGCTCTAGGCTTCCATATTTATGAGGTGTTATGTTGGCATTTCATGCTTTTAAGTGTTGTAATCTATTGAAGATTTCTTTCTGGTTGGATTCTATGTTACTTCTATGAGAGCTTCATTGTCGTTTCTGCATTTTTTGTATCGGCTAGGTGTAAGGTGAATAAAGAAATTGAGGAAGAGTCATGTGTATGCAGTCCTCAAAACATATCATTCTTCTTTCTAATTGCATTTTGTTTGTTTCCTCCTTGTTAGCATAAGCAGCATGTATTCCAGAAGGATTGGTTCCATGAAGTTCATTATACATTTCTGTGCTTAATGTCTAGTAGGTACTTAGGCAATATAGACTGAAATGGCATTTTTTAACGATTACATACTTCTCTGATATTATTTTGACTTCTGCAACTCACAACTTGATGGTTTCACTGGTTGTTCCAGAAATGACTTCAACTGACAAGTCACAACTTAGGCAATATACACTGGTCGTTTAAAAAAATGATGACTGTTAAGCTTGATTCATTTAATTCTTTCAGCCAGTATTGATGGTTCATAATGGACACTAGTTGTGGTTGGTTTAATATCAGGATAAGTTTGGATACCATTAGAAAAATTTTGTATCTTTCAATTCAACTACAAAATGATGACTTCTTGGATTAAGTTTTATAATTGTAGTTCTTAATTATTCTTTTTACTCAGGGGCACGATATAAGTTTCTATCTGCACGTGAAGGTGACAAACAACAACTGCAGTGGTTCTTCAGTTCATGCCAAGGGATCTCCCAGGTATTACATGCATTTCCCGAAAAGACCCTCCAAAGTATCTGAATAATGAAATCTAGCCAGTAACTTAATGGGGCTACTTCTGAGCAAGCATTAAATATCATCTTTGACTTGATCTGCATTGTTACAAGATAAAGTTTGATGTAATAGGCGAAACCATTTGCAGTTAGTGCCCGGAAACTATATGAATTATGTGAACTGCATATTGAAGCACGGGAATTTGACTTTTAGATCCATTTCCAATGTCATGATGACGTGTAGTTTGTCACTTATATGTTAATGGGTTGACTTTTAGATCCATTTTCACTTGTTTGAATGTTTTGTAAATTATTTCCCTCTTACAGGTCACCAATAGCCTTCCAGTAATGCCAGTAGATGTCTCAATGCCTAGTCCTCCCCAAATAATTTCATCTGCTTCAACACAGTCAACCGCTGCACCTACATCAAATCCAGAAGATCTAGAGTTGGCGATGGCCATAAATGCTTCCATACAGACGGCCATATCAGAGGGCGTGCCTGATATCCAACCTAATCCACAAACAAGCAATACAAATGATTGGGCAAGCTCTTCAGACAATTCAACTTACAATGGTTGGGACACCCCAAATGCAGATACTTCTTCAAAGATGAATGGTCAAGGGTCAACAAATGAACCATATGCAAGCAATGGATGGGAAGTTCAGTTGAATACTAGCGCATCACAGCCTAACGTGCAGAACCCTGATACTCCAGTTATTCAATCATCTCAGGGAGCACCTCCTACTCAGTTAGTTCCTTCTGCTCCTCCAGTAACCGAGGATACATTCTATGATGGGCCTATCCACTACCCATCAATAGATTGCAGCCCCATAGATATGAAAATGTCAGCAGTGGAGGATGCACCTGGAACTGCTGAAGCTAAAGATGGTTCTACATCCAGCTACTCCAAACCAGGATCGAGCGAAGACAAGGCAGAGAGTAAAAGTTCATCAGGTTGTTGTGTTATCTGCTTGGATGCTCCAGTAGAGGGAGCATGTATTCCGTGTGGGCATATGGCAGGATGCATGTCATGTTTAAGGGACATTGAAGCCAAGAATTGGGGATGCCCTATTTGTCGTGCCAAGATTAAGCAGGTCATAAAGCTCTATGCTGTCTGACCAATCAAATGGTCTATACAGGTAAGGTGATGCAAATCTTGGACACCTGTTTTGAAGAACTTGATTCCTTGGTCTTCTGTATGGTATATAAACTTCAAAAGAATTATTTATTGCATGTAGGTTGTCGGCAAAAGTTACCTCCTAAGCCATCGTCTCATACATTGGGCTATCACAGTTGGGTATGTTGTAAATAATATTTTGTTGATAAGTTCCATATTTTGTCGCATATGATGCCTCTGAAAAATGGTTGCATCACATACCCCGAGTCTCTGTGAGCTGATAGCTGTAAGTGCAGTGGAAACTGGTGCTACATTTGAATTGAAAGAAAATGGGCACATGTAATCTGTGTTATATTGTATCATTATCATGCTATGTATGCTGATGAGATTTATTATTTTCTTTTGTTTTTTTCAGCATAGACTTGTTTAGTTGACTAGGTTACAATGTATATGTTGATTTTATAACTTATGTTTCAGGTTTTGATAATTGAACAGAAGATAAAAGATCTAGTAATTGTTTTGATACAACAAATAATGAGTACCGCTTCTTTTGAAGCAATTTTGATCCATGTTACAGGATTCAAATAGCGGTCTGCATGTTCATTCAGAAAAAGACTGTGTTTAAATCACATTATGTAGGATGTGTTTTAAAAAGAAACAAACAGATTCAAAATGGCTATACATACGTAGCATTTCATATATTTCATTCTAAAAGTACACTTTTGAAGTTCTAGAAAATATAGCAACAATTTGACTGTTAACAGAATTAGGACTCGTAGAAATTTGGTGTGATGATTTATAGTCCCAAGAAAATTTGAATTTATTGAACCATGAGTAAGAGAATCTAATTATAGAAATAATGAAATGCCTTGAAGACCTTTCCCAAGCATTTGATGTTCCTTTATAACCAACCATATAGAAGAATGAATTGGTCGGGAACTCGTGTGACCCCATCTTGTCTTTTGAGAATATTCCAAAATCGCTTGAAGAATTCGACATTGAGATCATCGGCTCTTCTCGGATCCCATTTAGGAAATGGCATTTCTAATTTTATCGAAAGAGAAGGGTTGGCTTAGGGATTGATGATGCTGATCTTGAAGTCTAAGACGGGACAAGCACAAAGACCGATGGGAGGGTGAAAGTAGGGATTTTGCATAGGTCAAAATACCAATCAGCAAAACAATAGATAATTTTTGCATCTTCTGGAGGTGCAAAGGTGTTGCTGCAACAAGTTTGTGCTTTCGATCTTGGCACGAGTAGAACATTCAAGATGTGGCTACTGTCTATTATATATAGGCAGACAATTTTTTAGAGAAGATTCTTTCTTTTTTTTTTGCTAAAAAAGAGAGATGTCATGCATGGTAATTTTTTAATCTGAAGTTTGAGGTTTCTGCCTTTATATTTAATCCGGTAAGCAATAATCCCAAGTGAGGGTGTGAAGGTTCTTCATGGAACATATGCAAGTCCAAGAACATTGTCCTTGCAGTAAGTTAGTTGATAAGTTTAGACCAGGAATTAATGACAAAAAGTTTCAAAGTCAGTAGGGATCAAATCTATAGTTAAATGAAGTAGTTATAGGTTTTTTGGAGATGGGTCTATTTTAATGAGTAAAGGTGAATGGTGAGTTGCGACTCAAGAAAGATGCAAAACAAATTTCTATCAAGACAACCAGCAACACATGAATAATCAAAATGATTATTTATATTTAGATCTAGAAAAACTAATATGAGTAAGATTATTATTATTATTGAAGATAAAATTTTGAAACTCGAAAAACAGAAGAGAAAAATGTAAAAGGACAACCTCTTTATTACTCATTCGAGGAGGTTAAGAGATCAATGATAAATCCAAAATCGTAAATATTCACTATAAACCTTTTTAGGATAAATAGCTGAGAGTAGCATTTGTATTTTAATGAGAATGAAAGGACTCCCTCTTAATGGCACCTTTATATTTCCAAGATAATAGTTTCGTTCGAAATCTATATAACAAATTTTGGTAAGATATGATGAAGGTTTGAGCTGACAGGAGGAGCAAATTTGTTATATAATAAATTGTTATATGATAAATTGTTCACTGTTATGACACATTGACATAATGGAATTATATGATAAATTGTAATAGAAAATTAGCTTTATGATTAATTAGCAACCAAATGTGTTGGAAAAATTGGTCAACTCTAAAATTCTTTAGTAAATATCGTGAAAATGGTTCATAGCCACTATTGATTTTTCCTACTAAAAGAAAGCCAATAAATAAAAATGACAGTTGCTTTCATTATATATATATATATATATATATATATATGTGTGTGTGTGTGTGCGCGCGCGTGTGATTCTGAAAATTTAACAGCAAACTTAGGATAGACCTAAGATGGTTCAAAATTTACTAAGGAGTCTCTTTGTTCTTAGTTAAAACTTTATAAGCATTCAATCATCAACTATGAATTCTGTATTCCTTTCCGTAAGAGCTAGTGTGATTTTTATGAAGTCAACAACTATTCATTGCTTCTTGTTATTATTTATATTTTTAGTTCTTTATATTTTCAAATGGATTCTTATACTTGTGAAAGTAAAATATTTAATTTTATTTCTCCTCTTGTCACCGACTTTAATGATTAAAATATCACAAGATTTATTATTGAGTATGTGTTGATTTTGTCTCATTTTGATTTTTCATACGGTATTTCTGTTAGCAGAGTCAATATAATTTTTAAAAATATAAATATTAAAATAATTAATTATAGAAGATAATATTTAATTAGCTCGAGAATAAAAGAACGTAAATATTTCCACGTAGCATAAGTCGAGTGATGCGTTCGATCTGCTTACCTTTCTTTGCAACCCGTCGTCACCTTAACACCTCATCACGCAATCGTCGGAAAGCAACCACTAATGCTACCGCTGCTATTACTGTTCCTGCAAACACAAGTTGTAGGAACTGAGATCCCAATGGTTTTTACCTACGAATTGAGTTCGTGTTTCTGTCGAGGAAATGATAAGTTCTAATCGTTGCAGTAGAGCCAGATAAATTGCCCATTAAGTGGTCGGTGAATTGATGAATGCCTCCATTGCCGTTAATTCACAGTTCTTCCAAGGAGAACTCATTTCTGGCTTAGTTAGCTACATCTCCAACACTTTCTTTCTTGGGAATGTATACGAAAATGATACAAAATGAATTCTATAAGAATTTTCAATATATGAAGAAATAAAATACCCCCCTTTTTTTTCTTTTTCTTTTGTGATTCGTTGTGATTGGAATTCATGACTACATGGGGAGTATATGAATGAGTACTACATGGCTATAACATCCAAGGACAATTTCTTCGATGTAGACATCAGGCCCACGAAAAGGAACCTCGTAGCTCTCCTGATAAGTTGCTACATGTACCAAATTCGGCATGGGATTCACTATAACATGTATAATTAATTTGGAAATTCAAACCATGATAAAAAAATTACGATGGAGTATTATGATCCTATTTGAATAAATCAATTGGATGGCTAGTTATATAAACATGCAAGTAAAGATATATTGTTTGATGATAAATAAACAAGCTCATGCAAGGATGCAACAATGTACATGTGCATGAACCGATAGATGCATCTAAATTTGATTATAGTAAGCGAATGATACATTTCAATTCTACATGAAAAAAATTTGGCAAGAAATGAAGAAGGTCTGCAAATCTTGAGATGCCATGAGGAGCAAATCTGTGGGTGGGTGCAAGAAGAACTTCTTCCTAATCAAGTGTTGTGATGACTCATAAATTCTTGTGAAATTATTCACCTTTGTAACAAATTAATTGTTGCCACAAAGTTCAATGCTAGATTGCACTGAAATTGTTTCATATTTGAGTAACAATGAGATGAAGAAATGTGATGAGAGAAAAAAAAAAAAAAAGATTAACTCTGAGTTTCTTTTGTAAATATCATGAAAATGGTTTATTTCCATTAAACCCAATCATTTAATTCTTTTGGTGAATTGTAATGTATGCATTACAAAGTCAAAATGAGATAGCAAGAAGTACATGTACTTCTTGCTATATAGCGGATGAGAAAAGTTTAGCGAAGAATCACAATTATTCATGAATGTGGAGGTTAATAGGGACAAAAGATTGCTAATGCGTACATGAACAGATATTATAGTGTCCATGAATAAATAGTTCATGGACAAACACCATGGTGAAGGAGGAGTTAAGCACATAGTTTACTCCAAAAATTCGATCCCAAGAACTTTCAAGGATATCATTTATTTCAAGCTCATAAAAGATTTGATCTCTCTATCCAAAACAAAACACATCATCGGAGAAACAGTAAGCTATCCTTTTTTTTTCTCCTCCTCTGTGTTCATATATTTCTATGCATGCACTTTCACGTTGAAATCTATCGTATTTTGTTGTCTCTATTGATCGATCCTGATGATTAATACATTGCTATATATAGTTTTAGCTCTCAGGTTCGAATCTGTAGAATACTGTCTGATATATAAATCTATCATATCTTACTCTTCGTCGCCTAATACTCCACTTTTGTATTTGAGGAGTTACATATTCAAATCATTAAAACATGTTTGTATTTGAAAAGATAAAATCATACAAGATTGATTTTGGTTCATCCTTTTGTCCTTTTTAAGTAGATGCAATATATGTAAACACAAAGTAACTCGGATTATAAGATTATTATGCAAACTATGTTCAGAAGATGATGCAAAAGTAACAACATATATATATATTGAGATATATTTATCTATTAATAAGCTAAAAGTATTATTTACAATAAGAAAAGAAACAGAAAGCATTCGAATAACTAATTGTGATCCAATATTTCATAAAACCTTCCCGAAAAATAAATAAAAAAGAAGAGAGAAAAAGAAAGCAAGAATAGAATTTGTCTATGTAGAAAATTCACAATGCACATCTTATTTTACTATATAATTTGATGTCGACCGAAGGGTATGGTGTTGATCAACCTGGCTTAATGGACCATCTCATGAATCCTTTTCCAACTCAAACTGTAACATGTAATAGAATATTAATGAAAATAACATAATATTTTAAATGGCAATGCAAAAAACTCTTACCTTGATACCAAATTCTCTAGTTTACTACCTCTCCCTTGATCTCGAGAATACTTTTTCAAAGATTTTGTTGATCTTCTTTTTTTCTTTAGAAAAAAAGAGATCTAGAAGGAAGAAAAACAAAAAAAAAGTAAAACTAGAAAGAACAAGGATGTGGATATTAAATTGGGATCTAACTCCAAGCCTACAAAAAAATATATATAACAATCATTTGACTACCATCGAAATTTGACTATCATAATTTGTTTACTAATATGCCATGTTTTATTTTTTGGCAAAAAACAATTAGTAGTAACAAAGATATATGCAATGTT